CAATGAAATTTATACATATTTTTAAAAAATGGTCTCAACATTTAAAAAAAAATGTTGTTTTACAATTTTTGATTAAATAAAGAAAAACTTTTTGGGCATATTAAAGCTGCTATAAAGACTGTCTTATTATCATTTTTTGAATACATATAAATAAATATATATTGCTAATAGTGATTTGTAACTGTATGCAGTTATGTAAAAGTCTATACAAATATAAATACCTAGTGAAGGAGGTATTTGTGAAATAATAATACAACCCTCTTACAGATCGGCCTAAAAGCAGCAAACTGTCCTCCAACTTCCCCATCAGGACCTTTAATTTGCTTCCTGCTTCCTCCAAAAAGGACGAAACAAACAAACATTCATCCAGCTGGTTTTCTCCAGCTGACTGTCACATTGCTCAGTTCACAAAAAGCATTCCTGTTCTCTCATTTTATCCGCCGATACCTCTAACACTTCAAGCTTTTAAACAATTTTCCTTGCAGAACCCGCTCCCGCTTTTTACTTCCAGCTATTTTTCATTCAGAAAAAGCAGAACAGAATAAACCACTGTTGCTTTTAGCTCTTCAGAGTTAATTATATGAGATGATATGATAAGTGGTAGTTTCATCCACTCATCTTCTTCCTGGATCAGGAAATCCGACGTTTTTGGTTATCTCAAGCTTTAATCTGCAGCTTCTGCACAGATGAATCTGGTTGCACCAGCATAAAATATGAGACCAAACTCAAAAATTATTTCACCCTCTATCTATCTAATAAATAAAAAAAAAACACCTTACCAAGTGTTTTGTCCATTTTCTAGTGCAAATATCTTTGTTCTGTTGAAATAAGACAAAACTAACTTATGAGTGACTTTTCATCAAGATATAGTAGCTTTTATAAAGTCAATAATTTCTGAATATTTATTAAAAAATGTACAAGTTTCAGTGTCAAGATTTGTCCACATTATCCCATGTTATAAGAATCAATAATACGGCATTATTGGCTTAAAATAAGCTCCTATATCTCACTTAAAAGTTACTTGTACATAAGTTTTATTTCAAATGTACTAAGATAATTGTACTAGAAACCAGACAAAGATTTAACTGGTATCTCTGCAAAATCACAAAATCTAACCAGCTGATACAAACTGATCCTTTAATTCTTCTAAGCAAATTTTTTAGAGAAAATGTTTTATATAAATGTAAAATGCTTAAAGTATTGGTATTTAAGCAACTTTTACTTAAAAGCAGATTTAAGCAAACCTATTTTAACAGAAACAATCAGACATTTTCCATTTTGCTTCCTGCTAACTGATATAATTTTTGATCCAAACAGAGAAAATAAATAAGGAAATCTAATTTGTTGTTTAACTAGAAAAACATTCAAGTATTTTCCTGACTTACTTTGGTTTTGAAGACCAAACGTTACACAGGAATCAGACATTTTTATGTTCTCCTCTTGTATTTCTCTGATTTACAAACCAATTTTCTGGAAACACAAGCAGATGCTCGAATATGGACACATTTTGACCCCTGGGACAAACCCGGCCTGCGGCTCTGGGGTGTTTTTATGAATCGGATCGGAGCGTTTTGGACGCGGACAGATGGACCGGTCCTGCTGTGGCAGCAGGAATCGTCCCTGGAGAGGCTGCGGGATTTCAGGAAGGATTCCCGATCGATACACATTAACGACAACGAGGATTCGCAGACATCATGGAACCGCAAGGCTCTCAGTCCGGCTCTGTTTGTGTGTTGCCATGAATTCATCCATTCATTCAATCAGTTGTTAATGTTGCAGGGTTATAATAGTTGCTTTTTTGTTGTTGTTTCACTGTGACTTTTGAGCAATTCAGTTAATTTTTAGATTATTTTCTAGATTTTATTAGTTCAATATTGTTCAGAGTTTTAGATTTTCCATCCTTTGGTTTATTTTTAGGTGCAGAATTCACAAAGGTCAAAGTATGATATTGTGATTATGAATAAAAATATTCTCAAATGTTTTTGAACAACCAAAGAAGCGACTTTTACTGACAGTGTGAACAAAAAAACATCTATTTCACATTATTTCCCTAAAATGAACATAAGAAGAACATATAAAATCAATATACAATTGCAAAAATATATAAATGACTGTTTTCATTGATTAGTTCCCATTAAATCAATAATTTAACTTGTTTTATAGTTTATAGTCAATGTTAAATATACAAATATTTTGCTTTTATTTTTACTCATTAAGAGATACGATTTCAGATTTGAGTAAAATACTCAAAATAAGCTCACAATAAGGTAAAAGTCGAGGTTTTATAAAAATCCCACCTAATTACAGCAATGAGAGTAAATCTACGCCGTTTCTTTCCATCCCTGCTGACTGGTAAATCTGGAAAAACCTACATTTTGCAGACAATCCTCAAACTTTCTGCACTTTATGTAATATTTCTGAGCCTGTTTACAACTTTTTAAATTTCTGGTGAAAAAGAGACGAGGTGTGGCGTGTGAGGCGGCTGGAATATTTCTGCCAGTGATTGCTACTGGAGAGGCCAGACAGTGCTGCAGCTGACAGGCGAGACAAAACACTTTGCCTTAATGTTGTGCCTCAGAACCTGTCCTCAAAGGAAAGCAAGTTTGCACACTTTGTTCATTTAAAGGAGTTGTATTATGTGTTTTTCAGGCACAAAGTGCCATTTTATAGCACAACAATGTAACTATGTTACATTCAGTTGGTATAAAAATGTGATATATAATAAATGTGACTTCAATATTTAGCGTCTTGAAATTGGGCGTCTGTCTCTTTAAAAAACTCCTACTCTTTCCGAAACTCTCTCCGCATTTAACCCTTTCTCAACGTTTTACCGGCTTTCATTGAGAAGTGGCTCCTATAATGAGCTCTGCTGATGTTTGCTAATTGCTGCTGGCTAGTCTGAAGGAGCCTCGGAGGCTGGGCTTATGCAGTTTTGGAAAAAATTTAAGCTTACTGCTCTGAACCCCCACTGAAAACTTCCTGGTTATTCCACCAAATATTAATTTCTGAACTCTTCCTGAGTCAAAACATTGTCTGAACTAACATCATTACTCTATATTCATACGTAAATAAAAACTTTATTTGAGCTCTGAAAGCACTGCATTTTTTTTGATATTTTGACCATTTCTCAATATTAAATTTTTGCTTGGGATTTTAGTCATAGAATAAAAAAAACAACATTAATTTCACTCAAACATAAAGCTATAAAGAGTCCAATCATTTCTGGTTAATCAACCTTGAGTGACATTAAATCCTCTGAAATAAGGTAACAGATGCTGTAGCTCATTCATTTGATATGATTCTTATTTTATTTATTCTCTCCCTCATGTAAGGACTGTAAACTCACACATTATAAAATATCCACCAAATCCACTGAACTGACTCTCCTGTGACGAATCAGATGTGAGTTAGATCTCTGTGTGGGTTGATCATGTGTTGCTGTATTCTGTTACGGTGAGACCTGAATAGAAAACATTACTCTTCTCAGCCGTAGCCTACATAGATGTGGACTTCTTGGAAAAGTACTAACTCAGCAGCTCTGCAGATGACTTCTTTTACGGTGTCCAAGGCTTCTGCCCAGATGAGTGTATCCCATAATAAATTGAAGATTGCACCGGTTGGATCTCTTGTTTTATTGCATACTATTTTTATTTTCTGTTTGACCCACAAGTGTGGCACCGGCAAACTGCTGCAGATGAAAAAGGCCTGAGGCTCTAAAAAACAAACAAAAAAAAAAACACTCAGGAATATTTAGAGAGAAAGTTTAAAAGCTCAAAGGACGAGGAGTGAAACTTTATATGCCTCCGTTTGATCAAAGTTGATGCTGAGCTACAGCTGTCGGAGTGTGTGTGTGTGTGTGTGTTTAAGGGACTCTGAAGAGAGCTTTGCATTTTATGACACTGTCACAAACACTTCCACTTTCTGCATCTATCAGAGACTAAAACACAGAGGGGAAAAATGGCTGTTTGCTAAGTTACAGACGAGGAAGAATATAATATCACCATATCCTTCAGATTAAAGGGGATCTATTATACACAATTCATAATTTGCAAGTTTTTTTTCTTTCATTTGTGTCTCAGCTGTGTAACAAAAAAAAAAAAAAACACCCAGACGTTTTTTTTGTCACAGTAAGTTAAAATCCATTGGTTCTGGGGAAACAAGCCGTTTCAAAAACCAGATTTAAATGTAGAGCAAATGTCTAACTTAGTCACAAACAACTGAATAATAATAAAATTATTATCCTTCTTTTACCAAATTACCCCCTGCAGAAAAGTCCTGCAGCACAAATGTATAAATTGCACCAATTGGTTCATTGGGCAACCTATGAAACCAAACCCAAATAAATCAGTCTGTCGCTTTAGCAGAACATCGAAACTCATGTTTTTGTGTAGGAGGTTCTTTTTCCCAGTTGGGCTCCAATGGAATATTCTGCTGAACATGTTTTTGTTAACTTTGCAAAGCTCTGTGTTTGGTAACAAAGGCACTTGGTGCGGACAATTGGGAAAAAATGCAAAGGGAACGCTGTTGTCTCCGGATCGGAATGTGTCCTCTGCCCTGGTCACAATACCGATTCAGTCTGGACCAGCGCCAAAATACCTGGTGACACATTGTTCAAGCTACTCATTATGTCCCCGTCACACGTCTGCTTCAAAAGCAATAAATCACATCCACTTATACTCCTGTTGCAGCGTGACGTAACGAGATCCCGCCCCCTTTTCCCTGATGTAGAGCAAACGCTGACGAACTTTGGTTTCAGCTGTTATCAATATAACTAGCTAAATCTTAAATGTATGGATAAGAAAGGAGGATGTGATACTCATAGTATCGCAGCATACATTCTTCCCAGCCCTCCGGTGTCGTGTGCATGCGGGGAATTTCCAGATCTAAACAAGGGACCAAGTTCAACTACTCATATTTGCTACTTCTGAATGTGTTCCTCTGTTAAGAGTCAACAAAACAAAACAAACCAAGAATATCTGTGTGTGTTTTTGACCCCGCAGGTTCGGCTTACTACGACAACGTTCGGCCGTTGGCGTATCCCGACTCGGACGCTGTGCTCATCTGCTTTGACATCAGCCGTCCGGAAACCTTGGACAGCGTGGTGAAAAAGGTCAGCGTGTCGCACTCACAGAAGCGTAAATGAGTCAACTTTCAAAACTAAAACTTATTATTAAAAATTGAGGAGAATTTGAGTTTTTCTTAGTGCAAAGGTCACAATCTATATGCAGTTTGAGGAGCTGACTGCGACTCAAACGGACAAAAACTGTTTTTATAAGCAAATGGACCTCATGTCTGATTTTCAACTCCAGAAAATAATTGTAAATAATTCATTAAGATTTTATTCTGTTCACCAAAAACTCACAAAACCTTATAATGGTGAGTTTTAATTACAGTTTTCCAGGGTTAGGAACTGAAATCTTTGAATATTTGAGACTTCATCTGAAAACGATTATAAATGAGTACAAATGGATGAATTCCAACATAGAATATACCTTAATATGCGCTAATACTCACAGCAGAGATTGATTTGGCATTATAGCAGAAGCTAACATGCAAAATCTTCCTTATCTCCTTTTGGCTGTTTGGAAAAGCTTTGTATTCCTTCTGCCGAAGCTGCTTTTTCTCTTTCTTATAGCCTGTATGCTCTATGGAAAAATAAAAAAAAAACATGAGTGATCAATACTTAAGAGCCCAAACGATGCTGTGGCCTACACTAGATAAAACACTTACTCATAACGTACTGTATTGTGCTTTGTGTTCTCAAAACAAAGCATGTTTGCACATCTGATTTGCTCCAATTCAAATCATGTTCTGAACGTGTCTGATGAATTAACAACCAGTGATATTAATCTCTGCAACCGTATCCAGGATCATCTGTACTGAAATAATGTTGGCTGTTGATCGTTTATTTGACCGGCAAAGCAAGCTGCATAATATTCTATTATCAAGTAGGGGCAATACCGAAGTCTCAGCACTGTGCTCGTAAATCTCATGAAGCCAATCTAGAATAAAATAGTAACATGATTACAATGTAATAACTCGTGGGCACACCATGTTTAATACATAGGAACAACTTAACTCATGGGAACGACGTAATTGTAATAAATCGTGGAAACGACTTGTTTACTTTGTGGTAATGACTTACAAAAAGCCATGGATACGAATTAAGCAAGTTGTGGGAACGGCTTCTTTATTTCATGGCATTGACCCAATGTTTAAGTCGTCAATCACGACTGGTTTACTTTGTTGACTACTCATGGGAGCAACTTAACAAGTCATGACCGCAAGTAAGTCGTGGCAACAAATTAACAAGACGATTCTGCCATAATGTCTTGCATGCTACTAGCGTTAGCTTTAGAATGCTAACGCTAGTAGCAAAGTTTGCACAAAGTTTGCATACTAAGCTAAGAAGTTTGCACAACTTAGCTAGTAGCATGCTAACACTAGTAGTATGCTAACACCTGTGCAATTAAAATAAACTCAAAGTTGGTATCAGGCAAAGTCAAAATGGCAAAATATTAATAATTTTCTCTATTTCGATTGATTAATTAGACAAATTTTGTAAAACAAACAAATGCTCTCTGAAGGAAAACCTTAATATTGATAAGTCATTAGCAATCATTTGACAGCACTGCTGCTTTGTGGTTGCATTATATTTAAACATTTACAGGGTGAGCTGCATAGCTTTACACAAATATGTGCATTTTTATGGCTATTTAGATAAAAATTACAGACATAAAAACTATTCAAATGTACTGCTGGTGAATTCAAAACGTTGGTGTTTTGTTCTGTTTTTAGAAGTTGACGATTGAACGAGTTAGCATGCGGTGATTGATGTGTTTTCAGTTCGGAGACATTCCTGCCGTCATTCATCAGTGAAATTCTCAAAGCAAAACAAAACAGTTATTTTTCCTGGTTGGCACATTCCCACCTCTACAGGGGGTCCACTTTAGCGCTTTCCGTGACCTTTCTAAATGACCTCAGTAGATGGTTGTGAATAAACTTATTTGAAATGCATGCACAGAATGCCAAAGTGACATTTTGAGTGGTCACTTTTATTTAGAAGTAATTTATCCTTTTGTGACCTATAGGTTTGTGATTTTAGGTGTGCTGTGACATCTCGTGTTTTTTTTTCCGTCGCTTTGGTCTTGCTTTCCGTTTGAAAGTTTTCATCCTCAAATGTCTTTGTGTCCAACTATCTCTGACAGCCTTTCCAATAATCAATGTTTGCACCCTCCAATTTTCCCTTTAGGCCTCTCATTCTTTCTGTCTGCGCTGCTCAGCTACAAAAATACCCTTTGACTGCTTATCACTGCCTTTTGTTGTCCTTGTTTTCCTCCATTCTCAGACTTTTCATCGGCCTCCGTCTCTCATGTCCGTAAAAGTTTATCTAATATAATTTAATCTGTTTGAAAAGAAAAAAGAAATGTCAGATGTGGTTCAATTTTAAATTATTACCCTAATAATAATTTATTAAAAAGTTAATTTGCGCTCAACTTTAGTACCATTTATATAATATTCTAAATGGTAAAATGTCTGAAAATGAATTTTATAAAGAAATTACGCAATTCTGAAAGGCAGCCACTTTTTTATTTATAAACTTTATGATTTTTTGTTGTACTATTTGCTTTGTGTGCTGTATTGTGTTGTGCTACATGACATTTCCACTTCGGGCTGTTGTTAAAAATGAGAATTTGTTCTGAACCAGTTTGCCTGGTAAAATAAAGGTTAGACAAAAAAATATTTTAACGAGCGTCTAAGTCTCTAACCTTTACATTTTATCTTCGCTTCTCCTCAGTAAAATGTTCTTATAGCTGCAAAACTTACTTGCATAAAAGTTGGCATTTCAAATGTAATATTTTTTAAATAAAGAACTACAATTGTTTTACTTACATTTGTGGTTTTAGAACAAATATAAAACTAAACTTTTACAATTAAAATGTTTAAAACTGAGTTTTTTTTTACTTTTCCAATGGCACAATCTTAGTCCTAATCCTTCCAGCTACTTATTGTAACTGCAGTTGACTGGACCCATGAAATCCAATCTTCTGTATCTTCCTTTTAGCTTCACCTTTGCATAACTGGTTTCTGCATGTTTGTTTTGCACCATCCTGGGTCACGCTTGTATTTCTAGACAGAACTGCCAGTTGAGGAAAGAGCGAAAAGCAAAACAAAGCTTCATTTTGTCCCTTTCATGAAGCAGACTCTCTGCTCCAGCAGCTCTCATTCTGATGCTCTTTTATGCACCAGTTCTTAACAGTAACGCAGACAATAAGCTGCTCTTCCCCTGGGCCCTTTGTGACTCATGTGAACGACTGCGTTTCACCAGTTGCGCACACAGTCAAAGCTGTTGAAAAGGCAACAGCAACGACGCTGGAGAACATACCAGCATCAGCGGCCAGGCAAACCGGAGAAAACAAGATGTCTTTGTGAGGCAGAACAAATGGAGCAACAGTGATCAGCCTTTGTTTCGCTGTGGGAAGATACTGAAAGGAGTCTCAGAAAAAAAAGATGGAGGAAAAGCATTTAGTGGCGAGAATCACGTGTGTAATGAGCGTTGTCCGTCTTTGGATCTGGTGGCGGAGAGCAGCGTTTTGAACCAAAACAGCTTCCGTCCACTAAGGCTGGACAACAAAGCAATAACGATGCATATCTAGATTGACACCTGATCAATAGCAATAGAAACACTTCTGATAGGATATTCACTGAACCGCACAGCATTCTGGGGGATGAAACGGTTCATTTTCCGACACCCAAAATTTGTCTGATTTTAGAAGCAGGAAAACCCAAATAAAAGAACAAAATGTGATTTTTTTTTGTTTTTTTTGTGGCATTTCTTATAAATACAACTGAAACAATTGTTTAATAAACTGTTTTTAAGTTAAGGTGATCAATGTAATTAAATTTTTTTTATTGACATAAATATGACACCCATTTGTCTCTTAGCTGCTCTTCAAAATGGGAAAGACAAGTAAGGAGATCACCACATGTAAATAGGTACTGCAAACTTGCCTATTTTTTTTTAATTTAAATAAAACCTGCATCAAAACTTAAACATATTTTGCCAACCACACATTGAGCAGGAGCTACAAGACACAAAAAAATCTGTAACAACCTTATATTGTAATCTATGATCTGCAGAATTCATTTCAAACCAAGTTGTTGATGCATCCGTTTCACAAAAACCATTTGCTGTTGAAACGTCATACGCCTGTGGGTTGGTTTCTTTAAAAGGAGGTGAAGTGCATTAGAAATGTATCTTTTTTTTAGGGACTCAACCAAGCAAAGTGGAAGAAGAATGAACTCTGAGAGACGAGTGCAGTGATTAATGTTCATCTATCCGACACACAGTGGCAAGGAGAGAGGCAGGAGTTCTGCCCGAACGCCAAAGTGGTTCTGGTCGGCTGCAAGCTGGACATGAGGACGGACGTCAGCGTCATGAGGGAGCTTTCCAAACACAGACTGATTCCTGTTACCCACGAACAGGTGAGAGCCACACCTTCACTCGTTTGTTATAAGCTAAAGTCTACTTAGCTTTCTGCATGACACACAGGTTTTAATCCAGTCATTTGCTGGTGTTACTTGCAAACTCAGTGGGAAAGGAATAAACAGGAGTGATTACTTTCCTCCCCTTTGCACGCAAACAAAACTTCTGAAAATGAATTTGGAGAATGATATTTGCTCCACATCATAACTTTCACAAATGATGAAACACAGCGAGTGTAAGAAAGGAGCTGGAACCCGAACAAAGACGGAGACAAACAGCAGTTGTGTGATAAAGCAATTGTTTTGTTTGTGTGTCTCGGAGCAATGAGCAGCGGCATGCATGAATTTTAATTGCCTATTTCCATGTAAATGTGAAATCACACTTCTTGGCAACCTTTTGTCAACAAATTAATTTTTATTTTTTTTGTTAAACAAAAGCAAAGGATCTTTGTTGGCTGTCAGTTTGGTGCGTCTTTGGGATCGATGAGCTTGCAGAAATCAATATCCATAGTATTCATGAATTCAGCTGATGCACAGATAGTGAGCTTTGGATAAATGCAGAGGTATATTCAGCTGCATTTATTTGAACAACTTTTATTACTTGATTAATTTTATTATGCAGCATCGCTAGTCCTGGTTAAGTAAAATTTCTGCAACAAGCTTGTTTTAACCAAAATTTCACCAGACAGATGCTTTTTCTTCTTAGTTTCATACATTTTATATCGAAAGAAATGAATTTGGAAAGAAAATACTTTTTCTGATTTTGTTATTTCGTAATCATTTTATTTAGATGAATTATTTACATTTGGATCTTTAAATTACCAGAATTTATTTTACATTTTGGTGTAATTTTTAAATATTAAATCATCGGTTATTCAGTTCTTTTTCCTACATACATTTTTACTCTTTAGTGACTTCTTTTTACTTGAACTTGAGTAAAAATATTGAAAGAGTTCATCTTACTTGAATACAACAAAAAGAGACAAAAATTCACGACTGAGTACCAGAATCACAGCATTTCAAACCGTTTTTAGGCCACAAAGAATCGATTTATTTGTCCAATCTGGAAAAAAAGACACTTCACATCGAGACTAAAATGTGAGAAAAGCTACAGATTAAAGACACTGAAATAAACAAATCTGATTTTTTTTCTCAGAATTCTGAGATTAATGTTGGAATTCTGAGAAAAAAGAATTCTGAAAAATTGTCAGAATTTTGAAAAAAAGTCAGAAGTCTGAGAAAAAACATTTCTGAATTCTAAGGTTTTTTAATTTTTTTGTCAATGGTCCTGAGCCTCTTCTATGAAAAAATACATTTAAACCGATTCTTAGTTTTTGAAAAAAGCAGATGAAACATTTAATGTCTATATGTAAGGAATTTTAAGGTACAACACAAGCTAACGAAACATAATAGTAAAGCAAAGAATTAATGTTTATGAAATTTAAAGATGTGCAGTTGCTCGCTTCAAATCGTCTTACTTTATCCAAATTTACTCAGCTTTGCTAAAGTATTTAACTTTTTAACATTACCATGAGAAACTTCAGTTTGTTTTATTGGGATTTTAAGAGACACCAAAGCAAAACTAAAAGGAAAACTGAAAGTATTATTAATAATAAAAACTTCTGTAATTGACTGTAGGATGGTGTTGGACACCAGCAGGAACCTTTATGTTTGTGTTTTATGGCTGTAAAAGCAGTCCTTAAATATTTTATTGCTGTTGGGAGTTTTTTCCCTTTGCCCCAACAAGCTATCAGGGTTTTATTACCATAAGTGTGATTTGTTTTTCTCCCTGTATGGCCAAACACAACGGTCTTACATCCACTGCAGCGCCGACTGGATGATCTGTGTGAAATAAAGCGACACAATAACCCATTTTAGGCCCAGTTTGTTCACTACAGGGTTCCCCCTTGTATGAAAAGTTTGGAAAATATGGATGTTTTTTCATCCTTCCTTGCTGCCTTCCTTCCTTTGTCTTTTCTCCTTCCCACCTTTTTCATTTGTATCCTTTCTTTTTTCCTTCCTTGACATCTCTTCCATATTTTGCTTCATCCTGTTCTTCCTATTATCATTCCTACTTTGCATCTGGTTTCTTTCCTTCCTGTTTTTCTGTCCTGATTTTTATCTTAGTTTAATCTTTGTCCATCATGTCCAGAGTCTCGTCCCTTCATATCTTCCTTTCCTTCCTAGTATCCTCCTTTCTACCAGGTTTGGGTGTTTTTGTCGTTTCCTCCTTTTCTCCTTCATAACTTGTGGCCTTTCTGTCCTCCCTTCTTACCTCATGTCCTTATTTCCTCGTGTCCCATCATTCCTTTCAACATTGTCCTTTCTATCCTTCTCTGTGTCCTTTCTGTCTTTCATTCTAACCTTGGCTTTCTTCCTATGTCCTTCCAGCTTTCTGTCCTTCCTTGTGTTTTTCTTTCCATTCTTTCTTGTCTTTCCATCCTTCCTTCCAATCTTATCTTTTATCCTTGTTGGTGTCCTTTTTCCATTCTTCCTTGTGTCCTTCTATCCTTTTGTTTCCTATTTTCACATTTAGAGCTTCACTATGTTAGAAACATCTGCCTTACGTTTTGAGTGAACTTTGGTATTTCACATTTTGAAAATTGTTAGAAATCAGTAAAATCACGTCGAGGAAAGTTTAGTTTCCAAATGAACGAGGGGGTTCGATTCCCAGCACTGTCTTTGTTCGCAGATGAAGTCATAATTTACTGGTGTTTCTAACGAACTCGCGTTCTGTCCTCAGGGGACCAATCTGGCGCGGCAGATTGGCGCTGTGGCTTACACCGAGTGCACCTCCAAGTTCTCCGAGAACAGCGTCCGCGACGTCTTCCACGTCACCACGCTGGCCTCCGTGTTCAACGTTCACCGGCCGCAGGTCAAACGCGCGGCGACGCGTCGCACCCACAAGCGGATCTCGCAGCAGCCGCCTCGGACTGAGATTCACGAACATCCGCCCGCCATCAGGAAGGACCGCGCGAAAAGCTGCGTGCTCATGTAGCGGCGGACGGACGCGAGCTCCACTGCACATAAACTTTTATAATTTATCTGTGAATTCCTGTCACATTTTTTGCACTGTAACAAGAACAATATGGCAAAAAAGAAAATGAATGGAGCTCTGAGTTATTTTCTTATTTTTTGTGGTCAATTTGCTGCAAAGCTCTGCTTGTTATTTTTCTTTTTGGCTGCGCTATCATCCCGGGGAGGCCAGTCATGTGGCTGAAGCTATTTATTTTTAAAGCTTTTAGAAGAAATAATAATAAAAAAGGACAGGAACTGTTTGGTTCGAAAACAAATCGCAGCAAAGTGAATGGGGAAGAACTGAAGATTAAATAGTTTCGTATTTTAAATCCTGTTTTTGTCTTCATGTTCCAGGAGATGAAGCACAAAAGAGAAATCTGAAGAATGACGTTTTCTTTTAAACTGAAATAAAACAAACCTAAAAACAACCTCATGGGCTAAAAAAACACTAATTTTCTTAAACCACAAGTGCTTTAATATGGAGAAAAAATTGCTCATTATATAACCTGAGATGTACTTACTTTTGTTCTAATTATGGGTGGAGAAGTCCAGGCAGGATTTATGAGGATGCATATGATGTTGTTCATGCAGCTTTGAAATAAAAAACAAAACAAAACTGGATCTTCTTAGTGTTTGAAAATATTTCCTCTTATTTATTCAATAATGTTCAGATGAATTTAATTATCTTAATTAAATTTACAGAAGTTGCTACTACTGAAATCAAAATCATTGTAGTTGTTTGCACCGGAGTTGAAGCAAAATAAAAGGTGGGATAGAGTTAAATTAATTTTTACAATGTAAAACAAATAAACTATAAAACGTCAAATTTTAACGTACAGCTTATTGGGAACCTTAGTGGCATATTTAATGGGTTTATCACCACATCTTGGAAGAAGTGATGGGCATTTATTATATTGTTTATTTATCATAATACATTTCTTAACACTAAGATTTTTTATTTATTGTCTCCCGTATTATTAGGATTATTTTGACTACTTTCTCCTCTGTTTATTGATTGAGAGCATCAATAAATTTGAAAACATCTTAAATGCAGTGATTTTGTGCAACCTAGTGACACAAATTGTGTCTTTCAGGAGTAAAATTTGTATTTGTGGAGCTATAATTATAATTAAGTATGTAAACAAGAGGTTATAAACAGTTTTTAAGTCAACCTTTAAGACTATATTTCCCAACCTTACTGACAAGCAACAAAATGATAGGCAAATATATAATAACCTGCTATTTAATTATAATTATATGAACCTGATGTGTGAAAATAATGTGGTGAAGAGAAACAAGATTTTTAAAAATAAAGCAGTATATATAGTAAATATAATCACATACAGCTTCCATCTATATACAGCCATCCAAATGCAATCCTCTGGTGTTATAAGTGAGTGCAGCCACTCTGGTCTGGAGTCATGAGCTTCGTGGTCTGACCTTTAAATGTGACTCCTGCTCCAGTTTGTTTCCCACCGCAGTGGGAAACAGACCCCACAGCAACAAGCAGCAAAGTGGCTTTTCACAGCATTGCTGCCACGTTCCCATGCAGGGAGCGAGAGGACGCTCTGCACGCCGGAGGGAAGGCCGGGACAAAACCTCCTCCAGGTGGGAAACGGTGTCCACAAACACGGAGGAGCGTGTGACTAGCAGGTATTCTTACCAAACAATGCTATTTATGTGAAGACTTTCTGGCTATCTACGATTAATAGATTTAAATTAGATTTACTTAACGTCCGTTTTAGTTTGTCCCCGAAGGCGCTGCTCCCTAAGCACAGCCGTTGATGCAGAAACAAAAATGGCGGACAGGAGAGACGGTCCTTCCCGTCCGCATCGGTGTGATAGGAAATGAGCTGGATGACAAGTTTGCTAAGAGCGCAGCAAAAAAAGAATATCGTTGATTTAAATATCAAAATAAGTAAAGAATATTATTAAAATGTTTATCAAGAAGAAATGACAAGAACAATGGGACAGAGGAGGCAATGCTAGGTTTTATTATAGCATCCAAAAAGTTGTTGGGGAATTTAGGAAATGTAAAAGGAGTAAAAAAAGAAAAAGCTGTTATATCTAGAGTAATGTTTGTACATACAGGATTAAATAGTACTCTTAAAATAATTAATAAACATAATACAGCTTGTTGTAATTATTCAGTTAAATCAACATTAGTCGATAGCTAATGAGTTAGATCTGAGTTCAAAACATCCACACACAGTAAACCAGCTGCAGCCCTTTCAGGGAAAAGTCAAATTACATTAGAGGAAAAGCTTGAATGCTAAAAATGACCTAGCCTCGGGCAGCGAGTCCACTCAGCCTGCTGTTTGTTGCTGCCAAACGTAACGCAGGCGATTCTAAAAGATGTCGCACATTTTGCAAACAGTCATCCTTCTTCCACCAGCAACCTTACCTGGCCTCAACGACGCAAATTCAGCCGCCGCTGCGGAGCATAATCCTGCTAATGGCCTCCATTTTTCAGGTGCTTCCCATTAACTAAAAAGGGATCTGTGTGTGAAAGGCAGCCAAAGATAAGGTGGCTTTTGAAAAATGAGCTTGAAGTGGTAGAGAATGGTGGAGATGTAGCAGAAAGAGAGAAAATAATTATCTGAGCTGCAGCTGTGTCAGGCGATACTTGTATTCTTCCTATGCACTCATGAGGACTCCTATTAGTAGCATTTTAACTACAAATCAGCCATATTTACACAAATTAATAGTGGCCATGTTATTTAGCTCCAAGTGCAGGCAGAGATACTGCTGGTAATTAGAATACAATGTAGCTTCAGGCATGAAAGTAAACCTTGAAAACCTTGTGGTGTCCAGAGACTCGCTTTGCGTAAGAGAAAAACTGAAGAAAAAGGAAAATAAAGGATAAAAGAAAAGCAAGTTCACATGACGCAAATGGAGGAGGAAGGTGAAACACATCTGGAAGCTTTTTCCTGAGATAAATGCGGTTCTGACTCAGCAAATAAGCACAATTTTCAAATATGAAATAACCTAAAAGGTTATTTGTAAAGTTCAATGAAAAGCCTGGCTGCAAATCTTTTAAGGGTGACTACCAGATTTCAGACTAAAGTTTTTGCACATTTTTCTTTGTAAAGTAGCTGAAGCTCAGTCACATTGGATAGAAACCACATGAATTTTGCTTTGACTGGGCCATTTCAACACATGGATACTGGTCAGAGACAATAAAAGAGCTGAATGTGAATCTCCTTCTTTTACATCCTCTAACACTCGTGTGTCAAACTCATGGCCCAGGGGCAAAATCTGGCCCGCAAGAGCTTTTTACGTGGCCCTCCAGACTCTAAAGCGGGGGTGTCAAATTCATTTTCATTTCGGGCTGAATCAAAATCATTAATGTTCTTATGGGGCTGGTGGTACCAGAAAATATTGATAAAACCCGCAAACAAAACTGTTAAAATATAAATTCTTAAAATTAAATAATATTCAGGATTTCACAATTGATTTTATTGCAAAATATCAAAAACAAAGTGTTTGTGGTACTAATTTAGAAATATTTGTGCCTTTTAAGACTCGCTGTATCATCTTTATGGATTATAACTTGACATCAAGTGATTCTGAAGCAGCTGTTAAGTAGAAGAAATACTGCCTCCTACTGGTGGGAGTGAACCATCACGTTTTCACAATTTTTGTCAATCACGAAATTAGCAAATCTACTATAGTCTTATGTATTGACATATAAATGTTCATTAATATGTATTGTCCCACTTAAAAATATGTAAACAATGACATTTTATATTATATTGATGGTTTGGGTCATTTAACGTTTGCAGCTCTAAGTTAATTTTATTTATCTGCACTGAGATGAAAGAGGCTCTTTGGGTTGTAAAGACTGCTAAGCTCTCATCAATGAAAATCCAGATAAAATGCAGTTTGTAGTTGCAATAAGACAAAAATGTGTGTGGAAAAAAAAAATCCAGATTAATGAATACTCTTGCAAGTAAATATTGCTGTATGTTTGGTTGTTGTTGACAACTTAAAAAGTCATGAGATGAAAAACGAGACTCTTTTTGAGAAATCTGAAATTTAAAGAAAACTAGTGTCCAAGGAAAGTAAGAGTTTTTATAAACGGTAAATCCCTTGAGAAGTCACGTAAAGTACAATCTGCTGAATCATTTTTAAAATGAAGAAATGCACCAAGCTGATTTCTCTTCTTGCCCAAGGAGGGGATTGCGTTTTAGCCATGGATTAAGACAGATAACGAGGGGGCGGATGAGCCAGTTCTGCTGTACAGAGGCAAAGTAACTTTCTTGTTGATGCTCAGCATTTCTGACCACAGCCGGAGTGAATTTCTGTGCTTGGATAGAATGAGCTAAAACATGTGCTTCCTGGTCGTGTTCCTCAAAACTCAGGCATGTCACTGTTCAGTCAGTCTAACCACCCAATCAACAGGCGTTCACAAAGAGAGCGAGGAAAAAATTAAATAACTCCGATAGCCTGTTCATTACATTTTTTTGCACAAAATAATTCTTAGATAAAATTTTAGTCTGCTCAGTTCTGCTTGGTTTGAGCTGTTTTAGGGCATCTTGTCACTTTAAATCCACAACCCCCCATCTCAATGTTTCCACTCGCACGTGAAAACAGCTTCAGACAGCTGTGCAATCATATGAATCTGAAAATCTGAAAAGCATAAGTGGGGTCTCCTGCACAATCAACAAAAATGCAGCAAGTGGTTTTTGGATGGTAAGACAAGAACAAAACTCTGTCTTTTCCAGTAGCCATTGTACAGCTGACCAGACATTCTGGACCTTGGCTGGTGTTGCTGGTAACGGTGCAGTGACTTATCAATTCGGAGGTTTTTGAATCGGCTCGTTTTCTAGAGAACATCAACTTATTGCCAAAAACGGCTGTGTTTTTTTTAGCGTTTGGACTGTTTATAGAAGAAGTTGAGATCCAAATAGAAATATAAAATTGTGCAACATGTGAATTTTGAATAATAGGTTCCCTTTAAGGCTAAGGGCTAGGTATGTGGATTAATTTATAGATAATCAAATTGATTTTTGTTATTGTTCTTGTTTAAACAGAACCAGAATGAAGTTGAAAGTATTGCTTTTCCCTTGCATTATTATATGCACCATTATCTTTTCTGAAGCCAACTAGACTGGGGTTGATATTTCATTTTAACTCTGCTGTAAAGTAGCACTGATCACTGACCACTGAGGCTCAACCCTTATGCAACTTTAATGTGCTTCCTGCTTCAACAGTGACCATAAAATCTCACCCAGATGCTCGCTCATCGGTTCAGTTTTTGCTCAAATTCAACGTCAGGAGGGCGGAGAAGCGACATGGGGCCAGGAAACGCAGAAACAAAGCAATAGTAATACCAGCCAAATGGTCGCCATGTCCAGGAGAGGAAGAGTGAGACATTAAAAATGCAGTAGCCATTTATGCTGCATGTAAAATTGAACTGATTAAAAATATATGTACCGTCTGACTTCCTCTATGTAACAAAGAAGGCAGAAAGGATGTTAAACTGTAAATACAACCTAGAATGCAGTCATGCCTAAACTGTCAGAGAATGCATGAAGAATTATGGCATTAATATCATTTAAAAACCTGAATAAAAAATGGAATTTGAGATTTTTTTAAAAAGCTGTCGTGGATTTGTT